GCACGTTGTTTTTTTTATTTTAGGTTAGGTATAAATAAGAGGATTGCTGGTCTTTTGGCTGGATTTGGACGGATAAAGAACTTGTGAGAGAGACGGTGAGGAGGTAATTTTGTTGGGCAGAAACAAAGAAAGAAAGTAGGAAAAATACATGGAAAGAAATACAAGAGAAAAAGACAGAATAGTCCAGGGGTGAATGACGTCATTTCACCTAGCACTATTTCTCTTTTTGTTTTTTAAGAAGATGGGTAGGGGTGAATGACGTGTACCATAACATGATCGATAATTAGGAGCCTCTTAATTTTAATTTTTCTAATAAAGATATTATTATATTATTATATTATATTATACCATAAATTAAAGTAAAATGCTTTTTCACTGTAGCAATGAAAAGTCATTATTACTGTTTATTGCTGTCTTTTAGTTTTTTTTTGTAATTTTAATTTTTTTTCAACACCTTCTAATTTTTTTTGTTCTGTTTACTATTCATTTGAAAGTAAAATTTTTTACTGCAGCAATGAACAATAATTATCACGGTTCATTGTTGTCCTTTAGTTTTTTTTTCTTTTTCTCAGCACCCTCTGGCTTTTTTGTTTCGTTTATTGTTCATTTAAACGAGTAAACACTTCCCTCCTTTTTTATTTTCTAAACTTTCAACATTTTTTTTTAAATTCCATCAGTTTACTGTTCACATGAATAGTAAATGGCTAGCCCTCTTTTTTTTTTCTTTTTTTCCTAAACATTGAACTGTTTTTTTTTTTTTTAAATTTTTGTCTCTTAATAATATTGGGTGTTAAATTTTAAAGGAACCAACAATTAATTGGGTGTTAAAATTTTAAAGAAACCAACGATTTATTTCCTTTATTATTTATTTCTGAAATTTAAAATATCTAATTTTTCTTTTGGTGTGACCATTATTTTATTTTCATTTTTCAAAAGTGAACGGTTTTTTTTTTAATTTTTTTCTAAATAATGTCGAGTGTTAAAATTTTAAAGGAACCAACAATTAATTAGGTGCTAAAATTTTAAAGGAGCCAATAATTTATTTCCTTTATTATTTATTTCTAAAGTTTAAAATATCTAATTTGAAAAAATAATATTTTTTTCAAAAAATAATTATGTCTATAAGCACATACTATCACATAACATAATTTATTAATTAATAATTATATAAGATTTATCTCTCAAAAAAAAAATACATATATCATAATAAAGAATTTTACTACTCATAGTTTGTCATTTATTAGTATTTTCATTAATTTGTCATTTCTTTTAGATTCTCATCCAATTAATTTAAAATTATATTTACTTATAGTTTTGATTTATTTTAATATTATTCATCCAATTAATAAAAATTAAATTCATATTTTTTTCAAAAATTGATATTCTCATCAACATGAAATAAAAAATAAAATATTTTTTCAATTCTATATAAGCTTTTAGTAATTGTTATTTTTGTTTTTCAATAAAATCTTATAAAATACTAAAGTTTTTTAAAAAATATATTTAATTTTCTTTTTAGTTAATAATTCATGGATTAATAAGGATAAATCCTTTCCGTAAAGAAAAAAATAAAAAACACAAATAATAAATAGTTAAATATAAAATTTTTGATTAAAAAATTATAATTATTTTTTTACCTTTGATTTCATATATTGTTATAGATTCACAATATAAAATAGATTATTAAACTGAAATAATTTTTCTAAATGATTTTATATATTTTATCCAACTCGCAGCGTAATGCGGGTAAAAATCTAATAGTATCTAAAGCGGGAACACTTATAAAACAAACTAAAACAAAAAAACATGATTACTTGTTTCAAACTCGTTTACAAAATAAAACAAAATACATGGTTAATGTTTCAAACACTCGTTTATACATTCATATTTCACTATTCACATACTTATAAATCATTATTTCTTTCAATATTCATAACTTTTTTTACACTTTGGTCATCAATTTTTTATCCTTTTTTCTTTCAATTTCAAACTTTAATTGTATTGTGATTTGGTTTCTTTTTTTTAGTGTTTTGTGTTAATTATTTTTATTATTTAAAATTTACTACTTTAATTTTCATCTTTTTAAAATTCTCATCTAATTAATTTAAAATTCTATGGTCCTCAAATTTTCTATACATTTTTTTTTAATTTCAAACTTTAATTGTATTCTAATTTGATCTCATTTTGTTTTAGTGTTTTTAGTTGAATTTTTTTATTATTTAAAATTTACTACTTTAATTTGTCATTTTTTTTTAATTCTCATATAATTAATTTAAAATTACATTTAATGAGAGTTTTGATTTATTTTAATATTATTCATTCTTTTATAAATAAATATATAAAAATTAAATTTATATTTTTTTACAAATCGATATTCTCATCAACATTAAATAAAAAAATATTTTTTCAATTTTATGTGAGCTTTTAATAATTTTTTTTTGGACACAATCTTATGAAATACTCAAGCTTTATAAAAAATTTTATTGAATTTTATTGAATTTTTTTTAATTCTCATCTAATTAATTTAAAATTATATGGTCTTTAATTTTTCTATACTTTTTTTTAATTTCGAACATTAATTATATTATGATTTGGTCTCATTTTGTTTTATTGTTTTTTGTTAATTATTTTTTTATTTAAAATTTACTACTTTAATTTTTCATGTCTTTTAAATTCTCATTCAATTAATTTAAAATTATATTTACTGAAAGTTTTGATTTATTTTAATATTATTCATTCTTTTTTAAATAAATATATAAAAATTAATTTCACATTTGTTTTAAAAAATGGATATTCTCATCAATATAAAAAAAATAAAAAAATTATTTGTTCAATTCTATGTAAGCTTTTAATAGTTGTTATTTTTGTTTTTTTGAAACAATCTTATTAAATACTAAAGTTTTTTTAAAAAAATTATTTAATTTTTTCTTAGTTAATAATCCATGGATTAACAAGGATCAGTCCTTTTTCTAATGAAAAAATTTATTAAAAACACAAATAAGAAATAGTTAAATACAAAATTTTTTATTACAAAATTTTAAGTATTTTTTTCAGCTTTGATTTCATATATTTTTATAGATTCATACCATAAAACAAACTATCAAACTGAAATAATTTTTATAAATAATTTTATATATTTTATCCAATCAGCAACATAGCATAGGCAAAAAATCTAGCTAACTCTAATGAAAAATAGTGGGCCATGTATTTTGATGGTGCTACAAATATCTCTAAAAATAATATTGGTGCATTCATAATTTCTCCAAATTGGAAGCAGTATCTAATAGTTATTCAAATTGAATTTGCTTGCATAAATAATGTCGTAGAGTATGAAGCTTTATGGGTTGGAAGTTGCTTAAGAAATGAAAGTTAAGAAGCTTAATGGTGTGGGGACTCATTGTCGATAATTTTTCAAGTTAAAAGTGAATAGGAAAGAAATGAGGAAAAGTTAAAGCCTTACCAAGTATACCTTGCAAAGTTGGCCAAAAACTTAAATAAAGACAAGAATCAAATTGCCAAAGCCTTAGCAACCCTAACATCTTTGACTTAAATTAATATGGAGTAAGAATACAATCCATATGTATTGAGACTAGAAATTCTTTGGCCCATTGTTGCTCAATTTAAGATTAAATAGATGGATAAAAAGACATTAAGGAGAATGACCATAGACTTTTAACTTGATGGAAAAATATTATACAAAAGATTTCGAAGGCACATTGCTTAGATGCCTAGATGAGACTCGAAGCTTGAAAAGCCATTAAAGAAATCCATGAGGGTACTTGTGCCACACATGTGAGTGGGCATAGGATGGCTAGAAAATCATAGTAATGTGGGTATTTTTAGATGACTATAAAGAATGATTGTGTTGAGAGTGTTCAAAAGTGCCATAAATGTCAAGTTTATAGAGATAAAATCAATATAAGATCAATACACCTTTAGTTGTTTTGTATAATAGGGTATCACATTGGTTGTTAGTAATTTGGGGTTTAGATGTTATCTCGGCTAATTATAATACGAAAGAAAGTAATGTGAATTATTTCATTTTAGTTGTAGTAGACTATTTTACTAAGCTGGATAGAAGCTACATCTTATGCTCATGTCACCTAATAAGTGGTTTGTCGATTCATAGAAAAGGACTTGATTTGTCGGTATGCTCAAAACACTAATAACGAGATAATGCTTAGAACTCTAACAGAAAGATGATTGTTGACCTCTACAAATAGTAAAAATAAAGCATCGGTATTCCTCTCCTTACGGACCAAAGATGAATGGTGTAATCGAGGTTGCTAATAAGAATATCAAGAAAATTGTGTAGAAGATAGTGATCACTTATAAGGATTGACATGAGATACTTCCTTACACTTTGCATGCCTACTACACAGTAGTGAGAACATCTACAAAAGTAACCTCATATTTCCTAGTTTATAGAATGAAAGTGATGATGCTTTGGAAGTTAAAATCCCCTCTTTAAGAGTGTTATAGGAACAAAGTTAAAAGAGGCATCATGAGTCAAGATCTAGTATGAATAGTTGAACATGATTAATGAGAAGAGATTGACTATGATAAATCACCGATAGTTATATAAAAAAGAATAGCTAAGAGCATATGATAAAAAAATCTGCCCTAGAGATTTTCGAAAGGGAGACTTAATGCCCAAGTTGATTTTGCCAATACTTAAAAAAAGATAGAAGCAAGGAGATTCTTAATACCAAAGATCCCTATATAATTAAGAATATACTTTTAAGAAAAGCAATTATTTTATCTAACATGGATGAATAACCTTTTAAATACAAAATAAAAAAGTACAGAGATTTACAAAACCAAATAACTCATTAAAACTAATATATGTAAAGAAATAGTGCATGAAAACATGGTATTACGTATCTTTTGAAGTTCTATTCATCCTTCCTAATACTCAATTTCCTATATACTATTACACATAAATACAATATCATTATGAAGTCCTAATTAAGAATTTCTTGAACCATGACTTATAGTTGTCATCGGCCAAACCCTTCATCTGCAACAATGCTACCTTCTTCTTCCTTGCAAGGACCGTAAGAATTGCTACAAACAAGATAATATATGAAGTTAACCAAGCTCAAACTTGCAAGAAGCCAATAATAATAATCATAATGCCCCCTATTGATGTTGCTTGAAACCCAACTCTCCTGATCTTCTGCTTGCGTAAGATCCCGAACGGTACTAACGATAAAACTGGATACCAAGTTTGCGGCACATATTCCTATTCCATTAAGAGTGGAGGCTAAACTAGACATGCTTTTAGGCAACTCAGTGTAAAAGAATTCGTTCTGTCCAATAGCGTTGAAAGCCTCAGATAGACCACTTAGGATAAGAAATGGCAATAACCACATTGCAGAAATGTGCAATCCGGCATCAGGATTGTCTGAAAATCCTTCCTTGATTGCAGTTTCCCTGCGAACACTCTCAGCAATTGCCAATGCTGCCATAGAGGTAGTGGATAATAGAATTCCGATTCCCATTCTTCTTTTCAAGCTGAGATGAACTGGTTTTGCCTTGATTTTTGATACTAGGGGGATAGCAACGCTATCATAGAGAGCAATCCATATGACTAAAACGAGAACCATAATTGAGGTGAAGGTGGCCGCGGGAATTTCAAAGTTTGAAGTAATGTGCCTGTCCATGGTGGATGCCTGGAGAACTATAAAAGAGCCTTGGCTTACATTCACAGACATCAACATTCCTGCTGACCATATTGGGATTACCTTGATCAATGCTTTTAGATCTTCTACTTGATCTACTGTACAAAGATTCCATGGATTCAAAGCTTTTTCATCCGCTGTCAAGTCTTCTTGAATATTTGTAATAATGCAAGCTTTGTTGAAAAACCTAATTAGACAAGGTAAAGAAAAAAGAAGGCTTAATTGGAATAAAAACAACAAATGCATTCCCAAGCCTATGAACTTAATTGGAATAAAAACAATCCACAAAACAAAAGTTTCGATGCGCATCTTCGGTTCAAAAGGTCCTTTAATTTGTTTATTTTACATGCGTCAATAAAGAAAACGATTTGACGAATAATTCGTATTGTATTCAGGTAATATATACAGCAGGATATTCAGGACACAGTTTATAAATTCTGTAGTGATGATACCTCAATTTTTCACTTGGCACGAGAAGCATCGATCCCTTCGTATGATAGCGCACCTCAACTGTGGCTGGGGTTGATAATTTGATACTTCTATTTCTAAAGGAAGCCACAACAACTTGAGCCAATCCAGTGATCCAACTTGCCTTAGGCTTCAACTTGACATAAAAAGGAGAAGCCAAGAAGAATGAAAGAGCTGAGAAGATCATGAGCACTACAGGAACTCCAAAACCCACCATCCACCCCATGTTATCTTGAATGTATACAATGCAAGTCATTGCAACAAATACCGAAGCCGAGACTGTAACATAATACCAGCTGAAGAAGCTCTCTCTTATTCTACAATGTTGAAGATTGTCTCTGAAGCTCAACTGATCAGCACCAAAGGCCAAGGAAGACGATCTTATGCCACCAGCTCCAATGGCCATGAAGCCAAAAGCTGTATATAAAAGCAAAAGCTGTAATTTAGTTCTGGAATTGCAACTGTCACCGAATTGGACACATGGAGGCTGTCTTGGTTCAGGAAATGTTGTTAACCACAACATGGCCATTCCCTGTACCATGAAAAGTATTAAATTCTAAATTGTTTCGTATTAATTTAATCGGATTTTTTTTTTCATTCAGCAAATTTAATAATTTTGCAGAGAAGAGCTTGAATTCCATCTTTGAGGTGTGATCGCTAATAGATAAAGTCTTCCATTTACTCATATATGTAGAAAGTAAGTAATATTATATGATCCACTAGTCTGTATAGCAGTGATGTATATATATTTGACAAACGGATAAACTGTTTTTTCTTGCACACTCTTGCATACGTAAAATGGTGAATGAAAGTCATATGTATTTACTTTATTGTTTCATCAGAGGCTCATCCTGAATTTCAAACTAACATCTATAGTTTACAATTCTTAGTTAATCAATTGACGTATGTTTTAAGGGACTTCCAATTATAATATTGCAAAAGAAAGATTCAATATTAGATTTTGCTTCTAAAATAGCAGAAAACAATAGACGATCAACATTCAAGAGTAAGAATGTTTATTTAGAGTACTAATGATACTCTATTAATTAAGATGACAGGTTAAATGGATGATTAAAGGAAAACTGCATCATTATTTTTATATTAATAGAAATTTATTGTCCTGAAGTTTCTCGGTTTTCAATAATATCTAGTAACCTCTGCTTGTCTTCTAGAGAAGGTCCCCCAAAACGCACTGAAGGAAAAATGTCAAAAAAATCCATGATGACAAAGACAACATTACACATTTGGAGAAAACGAACAATTTGTCTTTGATGAGACATTGAAAAAGAAACAGAATACACATACTTTAACGACCAATATACGAGGGCTTCTAGTCCCCTTTTTTCGAACCAAAAAAAAAAAAGAACCGGAAATATTTCTAGTATTTTGATATTAAAAATACTCATGACTCCATATTCTGTAATTTCGTACTCTATCTATTTAAATTAAAATATTATATAATTTTGTATTCAATTAAAATATGACTGCAAATTAAAATACGTGTTTTAATTTATACGAATGAAATACGAGCAGTTGTTACTACCGTAAATACTTTTAGCCTACATGAAAAAATATATAAAAAGATGCGAAAGAGTACTCCAGTGGAGAAAGCGAAGGTAAGGAAATATTAGTTACCAGAAGACTAACAATACATCCAAAACCGATCATCCGATACCGACCCACATAAGAATCAGCAAGGAAAGCGCCAAGAACTGGCGTGAAATTTGTCGCGGACGACAAAAGAAACAGTACTTGAGCACCTTGAGCAGCATCCATGCCATATTCTCTCGTCAAATACAATATCATATTTGTCGATAGCCCAAAACTTGCTAGCCTCTCAAATGCCTCATTTGCTGTCGCAAAATTGAAAAAAACATAATCGTATCATCATTCCATAATTCTTGAAAGGATGATCAGGATATCATAACAAAGTTATAACATATTCTTGAAAGGATGATCATTAGCTTCTGTATAAATGTGTATGTGTTGTGTACCTATGATGAAAGGCAAGGTTCTGAAGCCACCCTTTGGGTTGCTGTTCAAGAGTGGCTCTGTGATATTCTTCTTATTATCTGATTGATCTTCCATCTTCTTCTTCTGTGATAATAGTTGAGCACTCTTCTTCACTGTAAAGAAATAAAGAGAGGGTGAGGGACAGGAGAGTTGAAATGGAAACTCATTGGGACATGAGTCACATGACTAACTGTACGTCTAGGTGGGTATCTATCCTTTTCTATAATTAATAACTCTCTTAATCTAAATGGGAAAAAAAAAATCTATTTATATTTGTCCAAAATGTTTGTTTGGTTAAAATCTTAATTAAAATATTTTTCTAAAATATTCTCAATTAAAATCTATTTTGTAAAAGATTATCTATATATATATATATATATATATATATATATATATAAAAGTAATTTTGAAAAGTATAAATTAATATGACATAATAATTAATAACCATCTTAATGTATGTAAAAAAGTCAAAATAACTTTCTATTTATATCTAATAAAATTTTTAATTTTTTTTTGTTTTTTTTGCTAATATATATGCTATAATCTCGGATTTGATTTCTTTCCTACCATGAAATATGGAGATTTTTCCTTTGTCAAACTAGAGTAATTTAAAATCTATTTTACCAAAATCTGATACTTATTAAAATTCTTTCCAAAAGAGAGTTAATTTAAGCTAAAACCTACAAATTAAGAACCTTCAATGTCAACTGTGTTGATTTTCATCCTCTATGGTATTATTTGTTTATTTATTTTAGTACATAAATTATTAGATGTGTTTAGGATTAAGGCTCTCTCTATCATTATTTATTAGTACAACATCATTTTAACCACCGAATTACTCCAAGAGACCATCAAAATATTTTTTTTTTACCCACTTAAGAAACCTTCCAAAACCAAAAATCATTTTAAAACTCAAATCGAACACAAAAATTTGAATTTTAGTGTTCAGATTCATTATTTTCAAGTCTTAAAACACCCAAATCAAGTGATGGTTGGGTCCAAAATTAGTATGGATAAGTTTATTTTAGCAAATTCATTTACTTCATGGTGGTCTCGTTACCAGTAGTGATAGGATCCTAAATGAGGAGATTCCAATCCAAACACCTAATAATTTAGGTATTAAAATTAGAAGAAAAAAGAAGAGGAAGAAATGTTCGTAAATTAAAACGGATAATAGTTTATGAAATCTTTATACAAATTAGTAATTAACTTAATTATGTCATGTCGGATTTTACTATCCCTGTCATCTTTTCATTGTAAAGCATATTTTATTATCCCAAAATTTTCTCTTGAAAATAATTCTTGTAATTAGTATTATTTTAGACAGTAATTCCAAGAGTTAGATTTACTAGTCGTGAATTTTTTTTTAATTTTTTAAATTCGAATTTTGGATTTAGCATTCAGAATAATATTTCTCTAGATGCACTTCTAAAATCAATGGATAAAAATTAATTTTAATTGATATATAAATTAATTCGAACATAAATTTTACTAGAATTATTCATGAATCGAGCCAAGTCAAATTGGATTATGATCAATTTAGATCAAATCAGCACGTGTTTGCCCACCCTGAAAGCCTCGGGGTTTTCAAGCCATTCATAAAATGAAAAAAAAAAAAATTCTAATTAATTATTTAAAATTTAAATCCAATTTTGACAAGAATACTTTCAATATCATCGATCAAAATAGATAAATAAAAAATAAAAGTGAGCTAGAGCAACCCAATAAATGGCACTAGCCTTAGCTACAACACGTGCACGAGCCTTATACTACAACACTCGTACAAGGCACATACATGGCAATGTCAGCGTTAATGATATGAATATTGGATTATTTATAATCGTAATTTAAAGTTTTAAATGTGAAGTTGATTACTATTTAAAAAAATTAATTATAATTATTTTTTTATGAATTAATAGTTAAAAGTTGTGAAAGAAAAAAAAATAAGAGCAAGAATTGGGCTAAATGGGTAACATTTGATGAATTTTAGTTCATTTAAAAATTAGTTTCTAAAAATTTAATTTTGAATTTGACATTTTTCAAATTTTATTTTTAAAATTTAATCTATCTTATGATTTCTAGAACTCACCCATCCCTCTAAAAAATTCAAAATTTTTGCACACATATTGAAAAAAATTCAAAAAAAAAAATTATATATTTTTTTCTTTTTTCCAATTGTTAATTTAAAACCATTATATTATTTGCTTAATTGTTATTATACCATTTAGTGATACTGTCCAGTTATATTCTTGCCCTTTCTTTCTTGTTTTTCCTTCTCATTTTTCCTCTCCTTTTGGTAACTTGCTCTTTACTTGGACAAAACAATTAATGCTCAACATTGATATTTCCAGTAAACAATTAATGCTCAACATTGATTTTTCTGCTGCAGCATTGTTTCTTTTCCTTGAAATACGCATTAAGTTTAGTTAAAGTTATTCTTTATTTTTTCATTTTGATCCTTATATCACAAATATATTTTTGTTTGGTTTCTTAAAATGATCCTAAACTATATATGAATAATTTGACGCATATTTAACAAAAATACAATATTTTATAATAGAGAATGGATTTTGCATAGTTAACATAATTTGAAATTGTATTAATTAATAATACAATTTTATATGGTTATCTAAAGTAAAATCTTATCTTCTTTTTTTAATTAATTTTAGAACATTTTTTAGGGATATTCATTATTGTATTATAAAAATTTATTTTGAAATATTCATGTTTTGTTTGATATTTTTTATTTTAATTTTGTTTACTGAATTATTTAAAATTATTACAAAATTATTTACAAGAATACTAAAACGCATGTGTTATTTTTTTTTATTGTTCACACACACTCATTTGTACTGTGTGTTGTAACCCAAAATTTCCTCGGTCATTTTATTTTATTTTTTATTTTTATTTATTTCATTTTAGAGTTTATTACCAAAAAAAAAAAAAAGAAAGAGAAAATAATATAATGAAAAAAAGAAAAAATAGGTAGAAACTATAAAATATTCATCCGGGGGCACAATTGCATTTAAAGGAAGGTGTAATTGAATTAACTAGGGGTATAATCGAATCAATTGAAAATTTCAGAACCTAAATTACATCCTAGAGGGACCTAATTGATAATATAATATTATAAAAATACTGAAATTACACAACAAGATGGCATGATTGCGAACAATTGAAATTCTCGAGGACTAAATTGGAATTACGGAGATAACGACGGGATTGAAGTTGAGAGGACGACACGTCGTTCACTCCAATCTAGATTCTCTCCGAAAATCTTTTTTAAAAAATATGTCCAAATCTTCCACTAATTATGTTTTTTTTTCCATGATTCTTGGCTGGAATTTATCGGCCAAGAATCATGTAATCGTTGATTCCTTTCCTTGTGTGTTTAGATAATCGAATCTCAATTTGGGATTTGATAGTAAATTTAGGATTTGATTGTGTGATTGCGGGAGAAATTTAAGCGAATTCGTGCCTATAAAAAAGGTCCGAATTCACGGACGAGGGAGGAAGGAAGGAAAAATTCGTGGGGAAGAATCCAAAGTGAAGAGGGTGAAAAATTGTAGAATTTGGAGAGATTTTTTTGAAGTTTTTGGTGATCGCCTCTTATGGGTTTCAGGCGATCCCGGGTATTTTCTTCATGTCTAGGATTTTTAGTTTTCAATTGGGGGACTCTTCGATTCGTGGTTTCGTTTTCTTTTTCCTCCGGGTCCATTCCAAGTCCCACATGTCTAACGTGATTTTATTCTTGGGATTTAATTAGCATTTTTTCTGGATTTTTTTTTCTACAAAAGCTTTACAGGCGGTGTTGAATGTTTTTGGCGCTGGATTTTGCTTCTTGGTGTTCATCCCATTGTTAAATTCTAGTCTATCAATTGTGAACTCGTTTGAGCATTCGAAAACTCCTTGGGTCCTCTAGAAACCACCTCAAATTTCCATCTCTTATCCGAGCATATAACGATCCTCCACTCGATCGGTGTGTACACGTTTTTTTTTCTTTCTCTCCGAGTTTTCAATTCCTCTCACCTTCGATAATTTGATTGTTGTTGTTAAACTTTGGATTATTAATTCTAGTGGAGGTAAATATGTTGAACATGATGTGCTAGTCAAATGTTTTGTTTTGATCTAAAATGGAATTTCAATTTCTACAAAATGATAATGAATAGAGAGAGAAAGTTAAGAAGGTGAAGAACAAGAGAGAGAATAGGTCAAAAGCTTGAAAATTTCTGTTTTGATTTGAAAAGTGAAAAGTAAACAAGGTGGGATTTGTTTTCGGGCTTGAGGTCCGGCTCGTTCCTCACACAAACCACGGGAAAAAAAAAAAACAAAAAAACAAAAAGGGAGAAGCCTCGTGCCCCCTTGGCCTAAGTAAATAGGTAAATAACGAGAAGGCTGGAATCGACCTGACCTTCTCCAATAATAATAATAATAATAATAATAAAATAAATATATAATAATAATAATAATAATAATAATAATAATAAAATGAAGAAATAGAAGTAGGGGAGAAGAGAAAAAGCATTTTCATTGTTTAGGTTCCATTTTTACTTAAGTCTAATTATTGTGGTTTCCCCTTTATTTATTTATTGTTAGTTTAGATTCAATTTTTAGATGTTGTTTTTTCTTTTAGTTTTATTTATTTAATCTTAAAATGTTAGAATTTATGTTAGATATTAGGTTGGATAATTATTTGATAAAAGGATTAATGAGTCTCCTAAATTTTTTAGGGATCGATGATAAATTTTTTATCAATAAAAAATAAATAATGAAAATTCTCAACGAGGTCTTCTATCCGATAGGGATTGTCTTTGAGCAAAAAAATAAAAAATAAAAAAATAAATTTTTTTAACAAAATCTCCTATCTAATAGGGATTGTCGTTTGATAAAAAAAATAAAATAAAAAAATTCTTGACGAAGTCTCGTATTTGATTAGAGGCCGACGTTATAAAAAAAATCTCACGATCAAGATATTCTCCAACACACGGTTGTGTCAAGCCTTAAAGTGGATCCGATGTTTGAACCGACATGTCATCCAACGAAGGGGACCGACGATCTTTTCAATACGATGCTAC